CTTCTCCCTGTGAGTTTGTAAGTTTGCCTATGTGGAACAAGGTATGAGTTCTAACTAAAGGCTATCTATCTCACACTTAACAGATTTTTAAGTTTCTCTCCCAAATGGATGCTCTGGTGCTGAAAGAGATTTGAGATGGATTTAAATCCTTTCTTTTCCTACACTGTTACATCCATAGGGTTTCTCTCCAGTGTGAAATCTCTAATGCTGAAGATTAGAATTTTGACTGAAGCTTTTCAAATATTCAGTATACTTGTAATGTTTCTCTCCAGTATGAATCCTCTGATAGTAAGTTTTGAGCTTTCAATGAAGCATTTACTTCCATTATCACACACATAGGGTTCCTCACCAAAATGAATTTTCTGATGTTGCCTGAGTTCATAATTGAATCTGAAGCCTCTGCCATAAATGACACAATTGTGGGTTCTTCTTCCTGAAGTATCACTCTCCGTGTAGGAAAGTCTGAGTTTAGACTGACGTTGCTCCTACACTCATCAAATCCCTTGGTTCTTGTTCCTGCAGAATTTGGGGAGGCATGGTCACTTACCAGAAATACAAGAGAATTCCTCAGGGAGGGTCTTGAAGGAATCTAACCTGAGCCAATGTTACAAGCTTTCCCCAAACCAGGCTCCCAAGGACCATGCCTCAAGACCATCCCCAATACCAAGAAGGAACCATTATCTGAGATTTCTTCTCTCACAAAATAAGATGGTTTGTCTCCATCTTTATTGCAGAATTGCCTGTTTTGACTTAGGTTGTATACATGAATTTTCTCCTATTCAACATTAGTCCACTGAAGGCAGAGCCTATGATGTTTCTGTCCTGAAGTTCTTTCTGATTAGGCAAAGGAGATCTTGCTTTTGGGCACAATGTGCCTGATACCAAAGTAATTCAGATAAAGTCCAGAGTGGCTCATCAGCCGATTGGCAAGCTAGCACTGTGGCCACATGTAGCTGCCTCTATCCCAGTCTAAGAAAGCAAGCAGGTGATGGCTCTGGGGTGTTCATTCCAGTCACTTCCCAACTGCTAATCCTTGTAACCTCATCATCAAATCACAGACCATGAGCTTCCCCAACAAGGAACAGAAAGTCAAGTGAGAGAGAGAATATGGGGGCCCAATCAGCAATACTCTGTCTTCCTCTCAGTCCCTCTGGGGACACTGCATGGGTCTCCAAGTTGGATGTCAGGGGTGAGGCTAGCACAGAGACCCTAGCCCCAGAAGTGGTGGAGGGCACTGCTAGAGGGCTGGCAAGGGAGAACTACCCAGTTTAGCCTCCCACAAGCTTTGATATGTTGTATTTCCATCATCACTCTGTTCTAATTTCTCTTACAATTTCTTCTTTGATGTAAGGATTAGTAAACAGTGTGCTGTTTAATTTCCAAAATTTTAAATTTATATTATTGTTGACTTCTAACACAATTCTCTTGAGTCATAGAATATACTTTGTATTCTTTAAATCTTTTTAAATTTATTAAGACTTCCTTTATAGACCCCCCATGTAGTCTGTCTTGGTGAGCATACCAAATGTACTTGAAAAGAATGTGTATTCTACAGTTGTAGGGTGCAGTGTTCTATAATTATCAACCAGGATAACACAGTTGCTAGTTTTCTTCAGATCATCTATGTCTTTACCAATTTTTTACCTAGTTGTTCTATCAATTACTCAAAAGGGGGCCTTTTTCTCCCTTTAATTCTGACAATTATTTTGAAGGTTTGTTATTTTGAACAGTTATACACACACATAACTCTTATGTCCTCCTGATGAAGTGACTCCTTTATCATTCCAAAATGGTCTTCTTTCCCTCTGTCTTGAAGTTGATTTTATCTGATAGCTGATAGTGAGTGCTATGTTTTCCTTTCCTCGTTGGGCATAGTTAATGTAGAGACTTTAAAGTCCTTGCCTGATAATTTCATCCACAGGGTGAATTATGGTATGTAAACTATATATCAAAAAAAATTAAAATTTAAAAGATGAGTAAGATTCAGAATAGTTGAGGAAAAAGCAGAGGGCTAAGAATCAAGATGAGGCATGTAGGGAGGAAGGGAACACAGATGCCATGAGCAGGAGAGGGAGAAAGCCTATGATATGGGTAGGGTAAAACATCTGGCAGGAGGGAAAGGTAAGCTAGTGGTAGAACAGAGAGCAGAGGTGTTAGAGCATCTTGTGGATGGTTTTAAAAGCAGACAAAAGAACACAGATACTCTACTATAGAGTTGTAGCTCATATGATTTAAAACACTCATGTCTCTTCACTTGGCCATATTTTGTGGTAAGTCCAAAATTCATTTCATCAACAAAATTTCCTACAGAAATAGGTTCTCAAACATTGAGAACAGGTTAAATTTCCAATGACTGAGAAACAGTGGGATGGAATAGTGAAAATCTGTGAATATTTTTAACCTGTAGAGTCATTGATTTCAATATGAATGTTTGTGGTTTCTTCACTTTAAAGGCATGACAGTGGGGTAGTCACTAGTTTTAATACACTACAATTTTATCATTAAAATCAGTCAGATGCACCAAAAATATTAATTAAATGCAAGTGATAGGGATAATTGAAATGTCTATCAATAGATAAATGAATAAACAAAATGTCTCATAGCCATACAATGGAATACTATTCAAACTTAAAGCAGAATGAAATATTACTGATTTGGGCTACAATGCGGATGAATCTTGAAAATATTACGCTAAGTGAAAGAAAACAGACACAAAAGACCACATATTATATGAGTCCAATTATTTGAAACATCCAGAACAACCAAATCTATAAAAATAGATTAGTGATTGTAAAGAGCTGGGTGGGGGAGGGGAGAATGGGGAGTGACTCCTAATGCGTGCAGGGTTTCTTTGGGGTGAGGGTGGGTCTGAAAACATTATGGAATTAGATAGTGGTGAATGTTGCACAACTTTGTGAATATATTAAAATCTACTGAATTGTACTCTTTAAAAGGGCAAATCTTATTGGAAATGAATTATATGTCAATGAAAACTTTTCAAAATATTTAATTCCAGTGATAGGTAAACCCCTAAAAAAGTTGGAAGTCTTATAAGAATGGAGGCTGTGCTATAGGTAACACTGTCTGTAAACCATCAAAGGCTCCTGCACACAGCAGACATTCAAAAAAAAATTTTGAGATTAAATAAAAGAGTGCTAATTTCCTACTAGTTAATAGCCTCTAGGTACAACCCCCTTCTATGTCACAACTCTAATGCATATTCCAATTTCTCCTCTCAGGTAAAAGCCCTTAGGAAAAAAATGCCTAAATGTCATGATGTATATATAGGTCAGAAAATTCTATATAATTCAGAACTGACATATAACAAAGTACCTGAAAATGCAATTTAAAGAACCCTAAAATATATCATTTCTATGCCTCAAATAACAAACATAAAAACAAACAAACCCCTTTGTTCTTTTGTACTTTCAAAGTAAGTTAAGATTGGGTCCATTTATGAAACAGCTATGTTATAAGTGTCTTACATTTGCAGGTACGGAAACTTCATCTTAAAAAACAAACCTACTCAGATGCTCATGCCCTGGAATCAATTTTTCATGAATGAATAAAAGAAAAAATGTATACTGAGAAATGTTGGTCATAGATAGGATAAGGTTCAGGGTGTGCTAAGGATCCCACAGGAAGTGGCAGAATAGGGACAGGAAAAGTAATGTTCCATTTTGGCCAAGAATGCTTCTCTATTAACATCAGAAATGGTAAAGTGAAACATACAAAAGAAAAGCCCCCACCCCCACCCCGGGAACATTCTGAATTGCATGCACTACATAAACATTTTCTCTCAAAGGTATAAAAGATTTGACAACTGAGGGACATACAGCCCTCAACGATATCTGATAACATCAAAACCAATCATTTTTAACTGATACAGTAACAAATATCCACTATATGAGCTCAGTATTAAGATCAAGTTCAGATCTTACAAAAAAATTCTACACTTGTCATATTTTTAGGACAGGCAAAGCAAAACTTAATTAGCCCAACTGACACTATTTTTGGTAATTGATATAATCAGCATAAGCATCCCACCTGGCATCTGTTTAGGTGGTCAGTAAATGTTAACTCCGTTTGATTACGTCATGTTCACAATATGCCTAGTCTCAGGGATTAGAAAATCTTCCCTTCAGGACATACATTCATTCGATTACTATTTATGGCAAATTCCTTCTCAGAATCCTTCAGAACCGAACTTGTTCCAGGTTCAAGTCCACACTCCTCAGCCTGGGTTTCAGGATTCTGGCTGAACTACTTCCATCCAGGCTCAGAGGGGGTGAAAGCAAAGCCTTCAGGGGCAAGGCAAGTAATGAATGAATCAGGCACCTCAGCCATGGGGTTAAGGGGCACAAGGGGGTGTGACTACACCATGGAGATGCCATTTGGCTCCAGCTACTTGTCATACACACCAAGAGTGTGGACTCGGGACTTAGGTGTAATCTTCCAATTTTTAAGTGTGGAAAACCCAAATATAAAGCATGGGGTCAGCAAACTAAATCTACCCACGAATCACCAGCAGACAGCAGATCAGCATCCTCACCTCTAAACAGAGAAAAATGATGTGACGAAAGGCCACTGACTGCTCCAAGCTTCCCATATGATGAGGGACAGTCTGCAGGTCACCTGCTCTCTGAGACGTGCTAGGCTTCCAGCCACATTCCCACAAGAATGCATTCCCTCAGCTCTTCAACTTGCCAAATCTGTCAGGGGCAGCTCAGGCACTTTCTTCCTTGAAAGCCTTCCTTCACTTTTTTAGGCCTTGGGAGTCACTGGGCACATAAGCATGATTGTGTTTTAACTGTGTTGATAACACTTTACTACTTGATGAATGCATAGGTCATGAATGGAGCAGAGGAGTCTGAGAAAAGGCTCCAGGTAAGATGAACCACACCTCCAAGATCAGGGCTAGGTACCAACAAGGCAGCTCCAAGACAAGAAAAGGCAATGGGTCCATCCTGCAAGAGCTAGGAAGAAATTTCAGGACTCACCTCATCCCTGGTTGTCAGGAGCCCTGGGGCCATATTCTTGGTCTGCTGAGTGCTCTTCCTAGACAAGAGTCAAGTTGCAGAGGCAGAGCTGGGGAAAGAGAAGAGAAGTGAGGGGGTGCTTGGGAGAAGTACCCTTCTATCCAGCCTCCAAGTTCAGCATAGGCAAGAAGGAGGTAAGGAAGGCAGGTTGCAGAGGGCATCAGAGCCATCCATTCTTAACCAGTGTCCTGTAAGTAAGGCTCCCAGAGCTGGGCCAGCAGCAGGTTTAGTCCCAATCTCCAGTTGGGAAATGAAGTCCACAGCCCCAGCAGCTGGATGAGACTCTATTAAGTCACTGTGTGGACTCTATTAAGAGGAAAGGGCCTCATAGTGCCCACAGATGAGCATTCACATTGAGAAATAAAGTGACCTATCATACTGAAAATAGAAGCTCCCCATCCACATCAGCCCTGAGGCCAAAGGACAAGGCCTAGGAAATTCAAAACAGAAAGACCACTACAGCTCAGGACAGAATGTAGATTTGGGGGGG